GGAATCGAGTAAAAACAGCCCAAAAACAGTAGGAAAAGTGGAAATTTCTTGAAGGAAAACAATCACAAACACTTTGTTAACTTAAATATCAAAAGACTTACAAGTTTCCACGGATACAATGCTCTCAATTCGAGAAGAGAAGCTTTCTCCCAAACTCTAGACTAGAAAAGAGGAAAACTAATCACCAAAACCAAAGATGTCCACAAAACAAACCCTAACTCCTTTTTATACTCACATAATACTACCCATAATATCCTAACTACCCTTATGACAAACACATTACTCTCCCTCATGCATTTGTTGGGCCCAACTTCCTTCTCCCTTTCCTTCGGCCAACCGCCCAAGTGGGCGGTTTCTCCCTCTCTCTTCTTCAGCCAACCGCCCAAGTAGTGGGCGGTTCCTCCTTTGGTAAACAGAAACCGGCCCAGTTTGGGCCGGTGTTGCTATGAGATGGACCGGCCGGTCCGGTCCATCAGATACATCCTCTGGCAAATGTCTAGTAAGAACATCCATTCCTAAAGCAAAAAGATATGGTCTAGCTGATACTTGATGTAATACAACTACTACAACAACAACATCAAGCCTTTGTCCCACTACGTGGGGTCGACTACATGAATACTTTTTCGCCATTGTGTCCGGTTAAAAGTCAAATTCTCAGTTAAATATAATAAAGAAATATCATTTCTAATATTTTCTAACCAAATCTTTTTAGGTCTACCTCTATCTTTCTTAACATAAGTCAAATCTAATACCTCAATTCTCCTAACAGGGTCATCGGAAGGCCTCCGTTTAATGTGGTAAAACTATCTAACGTGACTCTCTCTAATCTTATCTTCCACTAGAGCTACTACAACATTTTCACGTATATACTCTTTTCGCATCCTATCTCTAAGGGTAAAGCCACTCATCCACCTAAGCATCCTCATCTCTGCAACACTTAACTTAGTATTTTTTTCTCTTTTAGTAGCCAACATTCAACACCATAAAGCATTGCAGGTCTCACCACCATCTTATAGAATTTTCCCTTAAGTTTGAGTGGGACTTTTCTATAGTACAATAAGCCCGAAGCATTTCTCCACTTCAACCATCCAACTTGAATTATGCTGAGAATATCCCCATCTATTTCACCATCATTCTGAACAATAGATCCAAGATATCTAAAATGTGTACTCTTATTAATGACTTGATTGCCCAAAGTCACAATCCCCTCACTAGATCTATTGCTACTAAAATTACACTTAATATATTCAGTTTTAGATCTACTCAAGCGAAAACCTTTAGACTCTAAGGTTGACTTCCATAATTCAAGTTTACCTTCAACTCCCTCTCTAGTCTTATCGACAAGAAGAATATCATCAGCAAAAAGCATACACCAAGGTACATCCTCTTGCAAATGTCTAGCGAGAACATCCATGACTAAAGCAAAAAGATATGGACTTAAGGCTGATCCTTGATGTATCGAAATAGGAAAATACTTGGTCAAACCACCTTGTGTTTGAACACAAGTAATAGCTCCTACATATATATCTTTAATGATTTGAATATAAGCATTACTAACTCCTTTCTTTTTAAGAACTCTCCATAGCACTTCTCTTGGAATTTTATCATATGCTTTCTCTAAATCAATAAATATCATACATAGATCCTCCTTATTCTCTCTATATTTCTCCATCAAATTTCTCAAAAAATGTATGACTTCCATAGTAGACCTACCCGGCATGAATCCAAATTAATTTTGAGAAACATTAGTATCACGCCGTAACCTACGCTCCATAACTCGCTCCCATAGTTTTAAAGTATGACACATTAACTTAATTCCTCTATAATTCGCACACTCCTATGCATCACCTTTATTCTTAAAAATAAGAATTAACACACTCAATCTCCACTGATCTGGCATCCTTTTAGTCTTTAAAACAGTACTAAAAAGTTTAGTAAGTTGAGAAAATCCTTCATCTCCTAAGCATTTTCACATCTCTATTGGAATATCATCAAGTCCAACAGCTTTTCCACACTTCATTTTCTTTAAAGTCTCTCTAACTTCAGTTTTACTAATACGTCGATAAAAACAAAAATCTTTATTTTCATTTAGGGTGCTAAAGTCACTAAAATCAATCGTATTTTCACAATCTTCATTAAAAAGTTTAGCAAAATATCTCATCTACCTTTGTTAAATATCATCTTCTAAGAAAAGTACTTTTTGTTTTTCATCCTTAGTACACTTCACTTGAACTAAATCCTTACTACTCCTATCTCTTTGTTTGGCTAACTTATACATATATATTTCACCATTCTTATTATCTAATCTATTATATAAATCATTAAAAGCTAAGCTCTTTGCATCGCAAATAGCTTTCTTAGATTCCTTATGAGCTTCTTTTTAGCTTCCCCAATTATCCAAATTTTTACATATAAATCAATTTTTATAACAAATTTTCTTATTTTTTATATTTTCTTGGACACTTAGATTCCACCACCAACTATTTTTACTATTATAAGCTTTTCTCTTTGAAACTCGAAGCACATCTTTTGCAATAATCTTAATATCACGAGCCACTTTTTCCCACATAACATTCGCATCCTCAAGCACAAACAAAATATTAAGATCTAAAATTTTACTCTCAAAAATATTTTTGTTAATATTTTTTAAATGCTCCCATCTAATCCTAGAAAATCGTTTTACTTTATTTTTATTTTCTACCCCTTTATCTTAAAGTCAAAAACTAATAATCGATGTTGGGTACATAAATTTTCACTTGGAATAACTTTGCAACCTTTGCAATCTAAACGATCTAATTTTTTTATAAGAAAATAATACATTTGTGTTTTACTATATCATTTTTTATAAGCGATAAAAAGCGCATCTCTTTTCTTAAATAAGATATTAGCTATTAAAAAATCATAAGCTAAACAAAAATCTAATATGGTCTTACCACCTTTATTTGTCTATCCAAATCCATGGCCACCATGAATGCTTTTAAAATCATCTACCTCTCTACCAACATGTCCATTTAAATCTCCTCCAATAAAAACTCTTTCTTCAAGAGGTATCTTTTGTATTAATTCTTCTAAGTCATTCCAAAATTTTAATTTTGAACACATATCCAAACATACTTGAGGAGCATAAGCACTTATAATATTAAAAGTCTTTTCATCAACAACAATCTTTAAAGCTATAATTATATCTCCAATTCTGCTAATTTTTATAACATTATCCTTCAAACTCTTATCTATAATCACACCTACACCATTTCTAGTACGACTCTTACACGAATACCATAGTTTATATCCTAAACTATCAATCTCCTTAGCTTTCTCTCCAACCCATTTAGTTTCTTGAATGCACAGAATATTTATCTTCCTATGAATCATAATATATATTAATTCCATTAAGTTTCCTGTAAGGGAGCCTATATTTCAAATTCTTATCATAATTTTAGTTTCATGGACACGACTAACAGCTCCTGCATACATATCCTTAACGACTTAAATATAAACATTATTAATACTTTCCTTTTCTACGGCTCAAATACACATTATTCTAGTCTTGGTTTAACAAATAATAATAACTTAGTCTACTATTTGATGATCTGCGAGGATCCTGTGAATATCCACTAAAGATCCCCTGAGGACCGTATCATTCGTAATGATTCCGTTACCTTCAGTCTCGACAAAGGTTGGCCTAGCATCAATCTCTCAGCTCCTGATATGTTTGCAAAGAATGTCTAATTCTAGAAAGCTATTACACATCTTTTAGCTTAGATATCTCAGTTCTTCTTGCACTATACAAATTCTTGATGCTCCTTGTCATAGAATCATGAGTTTGTGTGATGTTGTTAGGAGTTACCAGAATTATTAGATTACCATCTTAATATTAACACACGTGATTACTATTTATTAGAGATCTATAATATTTATTATTATTATATATTCAGATTATGAAGTATATTCTCTTTTATTGTACTTTTCTTATTGCTCTTTTATTTTATCTTTATATAAGTATGTTTATGCTAGCATAAGGTTCAAGCAAATAAATATGTAGCTTTTTTTATAATTTCTATCACCTAACACCATCAAGATTATGTGAATACTAAGAAATTCATCATTTTCATAACTACACAGTAAATGGTACAATGCAATCATGAAACAATAAAATTCATATTATATTTTCCTACTAGTATTGAAAAAGAACTAATGATATCATATGCCAACGTGAAACCATCACAATATAAAGGAACCTAAATAAATGTAAATTTGCACATGATACATTCATAATCTCCTTTGAATTTCCAAACAAATAACAAAATTCTTCCACCTTTTGGGGATAATAGTGTTATGGGTTGTCTTGAGTATCTCTTTAAAATAGAAAAATGAATATATGATTATGAATCTTATTTAATCAATATAAATAAAGAGATAAATCTAGAACATATGGTGAGATGACAGGCCAATCTATCAAGTCATTATGTTTTAAATTTTATTTTATTAAATTATCTTGCAACTCAAATGGCAGGTGTTTTCTTAAAAACAATAATAAAAGTAGAACGCCATTAAGTTGTGGGACTACAAAATAGCTATTTCTCAAATACAAATCCAAATGACTACTAAGCCCATAGGTTGCATATGAAGAGATTAACACTGCATGATCTAGGAAATTGAAATTTCCCCTCTATTATACATCAAGGACATGTATATTCATATTTGATATTAACACTGCATGATCATAAAACCAAAATTTTCTCTCTATTATACATCAAGAACATGTACCTACATATGTGATCTTAAGCGTCAAAAAGTTTAAAATGCAGCATGAAAGAATAGGACAAAATATCTTTGAATTTGAATCCACGAAAAAAAAAACACTCAATTGTAATCATGCAACTCATGATTTATTGTTGTGTAAAAATGAAAAAAAAAATTATGGAATAGTTGCAAGAAATTAGTAATTTTATTTCAATGAAATAGTTGCTTAAAACAGAAGTAGTGAAAGGGAAAGCTACCTCATAATCTTCTGGCTCAAATAGTTCCCCATGCTGACATGCATAATGAGCTTGTTGAACACCACTTGTCATTTTATATCAACCAATTTCCTAGTGATTTAAATTGATTTCCTAAAGCCGCCTTGCTAACTCCCTAAATTAGCAAAGCATTTGACATAAGTAGGGGAGATAAAAATAAAAAATAACAGTCAATCCGTCAACTTTTGAACCATTTGAAGAACTTCGAGGAAGAAAATGGAAATAACAAAGACGCTATAGCTCAAGCAAATATGAAAAAACTGTAATTTAATTGGAGAAAAGGTAAGATGTACATCCATGAGATATACAATCAAAATAACAAAAAAAAAGAGTGCTTGTTTAAAAATATATATATTATAACACATTTTGATAGAATCAAAGTAACTCTACAATTTTTTGTTAACTATGCCATGATATTTTAAAATAAACTTTTGGACGGCCTCCCATGAAATCAAGAAAAGAAAAAACTGGTAACAGTTAGCATTTCAGGCTATGAATAATAGAGACTGTATTTGATTTTATAATATATATATATTATAGAACCATTCAATTTTTTGAAATATTAATCATCTAATATTAAAACTCAAAATTTAGATTTAAGGTGATTAAAGGAAGCATGCTATGGAATAAATAGAGATACCCATCTCCTTGAATACAAATTGAATAACACATTCTTTAAAAAAAGAGTTGTATTTGCATCTAAATATACCAGACTTCATTGACGAGCAATGCTCCTAAAAATGAAATTAAATAGTGATAGATGTGTTGTTGAAGGAAATAGAGGAAAACTAAAATATAATATCTCTTACATCAGTAGACTTCCTTTTTCTTCCACTTTATCCTCCTTATAAGGCTTGAAAACTAAATGGCAACAGCACCACTTCCGTGGCTTCGAGCATGCAACCACTGCAACAACAACATCAACTGAAGTTATAGAAGCAATTTCTTCCTTCAAAAAGCAATAAGTTCAATAATGTCCTCAACTTTAACTTTAGTTAACATAAATTCAAATAATCAATTTCAACACCAGTTGTTGGAGAAGAAGTTGCAGGAAAAGAAACAAAATTACTTCACCAAAAAACAAAGAAACTCAATATTAAATCTAAAATAAGATTTATGAGTATAATAATCAACATTCATATGATGGAACTAAATATTGCTAACAGAGAAAATGAACATTAACAATATTAATGTTTCATCGTCACTGAAATAACCGCAGCAGAGATTTTGGCAGGTTAGCAATCCTAATAATGAGAAGAACTTTATGTCTTTATCCCAACTATTGTAGCTATGAAGCCCAGAAATCTATACCATTATCTAAATACAATTATTCTTTTTTTTTTCTGGAACATAATAAGGTTTTACTTATGAATTATTTTAATAATAAGATAGTTTGCTTTTGTTCTTATTATTGCCATAATGTTTGTAGTTGTTTGATGGAAGAGAAGACAAGCCAAAATATCCACGGTGATGGATGACACTTTCTCCATTTTTCTAAAAGAAAAAAAAAATATTATATATGCTATAAATGTAATAGAAAATATATAAAATACATCATTGCTTAATATAGTTCATTTCATTAAAATTTGAACAAAATATTCTATATCTTTATTATATAATCACAATGAGTTTGGAGATCAATTATCATACCAAAAAGAATTTATGCATAAATAAAACAAGCTAATACAAATATTTCAAAGCAAATAAGAAAGCCATTTCATAATGATCGGGTATAAAAAGCATAATTAGGAAGGTAAGCTTACATGAAAGCATTTTCACGATGACTGCATGTAAAAGACAAAATGACAAATATGCATTTAAAGCTAGGTGAAAATCTCACGAGAAAATTATTTGAAAAGAAAGATTTGAATCCGCCAGATATCAACTAGGCTATTCTAATTACCCTTTTGGCCTTAGAAACAAACACAGGAGACAACAAAAACGGATAGAAGAGCAAACTCATGACCAAGCTCAGGAGGTAAAAGACATAAAACTAGCAATGACGGTTCACAATGTCTAAAGCTACAATTTTCACTTGCAACATTTAATTTATTTTCGCCAACTGATGCCTCAATTTCTCTACCACTCACTAGAAACCCAAAAACAACGTCGAAACGCCAACTCCCTGAATATTTCAAGAAGGGACGAAATACGGCAGTTTTGGATACTATACAAAAACCAAGATCAACGGATAAGAGAAGATAAAACACAACAAACGTTACGAAAGGATCTTGGAAAAAATGTTAATAATAAAAATATTAAATCGGAAAACGATTCACACCAGCTTGTAAGAGAAAATAAGGTCAAAGAAATTTTGGTGAGAAGATTCTTACACGCTTAAAATTTAAAAATCTTCACTTCTATTTTCCAATTTCCAATAGATAAAATGGCTAATTTATAATGCGCCAACAAACCTCGAGCATATGACCCTAAATGGGAAGAGAGAGTCGGATAATGCAAGCAATACCTTCAGTTGATGAACAGAAGGACGGACATTTCACAGTGAAGCATGCAGCGCGCCTCAATACCAACTGAAAGAACGCACAAATCGCAGAGAATGAACAGCGGGAAGGCCATTTCAGCTTCGATTTATATAAAAAACGGACGGTCGCGTGAAGGTGAAGGGATGGACGGCGGCATTTAGGGAGAAGGGGCAGCATCTTTGGGTTCATCTTCTTGATCTGAAGGGTCGGAGAAATCGAGCAGCGGTGGTGGGAGGAGAAGAGGCGAAGATGAAGGTTCGGAACGGGGGATTAGGGATTTGAAGTGTGAATGGAAGCGTGACTGCGTGAGTTATATATGACGACGTCAGGTGCAACGAATGAAATAAGAGCTCATAATTTTGTTATATATAAGTCAACAGGTCAAGCGTTTATTATTTTATATTTTATCTTTTTGTCATTATTATAATTTAAACATTAAAATAATGCACATAATTAGAATATTAAAGTGGATTATATTTAATTTTTAATATTTTAAATTAAAAGCAAATGCATAGCAAGCTTGCAAGCTGCTAATGTTTGTTGTCAATATTTTCAACAATAATTAAATATTTTTAGGAATTATTATAAATATTTTTTCAAACTACTAGATAATTTTTTTGCCTTGTGCAGAGAAAAATCAAAACATACTAAGAGAACCATTGTCCTTAAATTTTGATCCTTTCAACAATAATAGTCAATTCCTCTTTTTTAAAAAAAGATCTAAATCATTGAAGAATTTTATTTATTTTTCTTTTTTATTTATTTATTAACAATTAGAGTTAACTAATTGCATTGAAAAAAATATAAATAGTGAAAAATATAATTACATTACTATGGTTGACATTTACATTTTGATTCAAAATCTGAAGTCCAAAAGTAACCTACATAATAAACATTAAAATTCATTAAGTATCTAAAACTTATCACTTCTTTCAAAGCAAAGTAAAAAAATTAATATACATGTTACAGGCAATGTCAATATCAATCAAGTTATCGGTTTGAACATTATGCAATCGACGAAGTCAATATCAAGCATCCGTAATACAAAGTCAATATCAATCAACTATAAAACTAAAATGATCAGTAAAGTAAAAAAGTTGTCTATAACATTATAATATAAATTGGTATAAGACTCCATCAACATGTCATGTCAGTATGTTATGATATGATGTATCAGTATTATGTTGGTTCAATCAATTCTATATCAATTGTATATATCAAAATAACTCAGTGTACTATCATGTAATGGCAATCATAAATATGATTATGAAGAGCAACGTAAGATATCCAACTTTAATATAGTGTTTTTATTTTTACATCATAATTGTCAACTAGTTAGTCATTAATCTTTAATTTAACCCAATGGTTGACTAGCTGGTCATCAATATTTTTCTTACTATCATTATTCATTATCTCAAATCAATTCATATATGACTTTTAATAAATCTTAAAGATTCTTCACTCTTTATTCGTCGGTGTAATCAGTCAATTAGTTACATGCTACAAACTAAGATCACACCACAACCTTAATTTTATTTTAAGGAAAGTCAGTCAGTCCACCCTCCTATACATGATATTATATTTTAAAAGCTAAACCATATTAATTATAGTGTTAACAACTTGTCTATCTTACTTACATATAAATGCTAAATTTATCTCATATTTCATTTATACCATTTTTTCTATGCAATATAATATCAAGTATAAAATGCAATTATCAATGAAATGTACGGAAATATGTACATCATGTATTAATTTTGGAAAATTATAACTATAAATTTACTCAGTGAAATTTAATAATATTATAATCAAAATGCTCATGGCGGTCATATCTATCATATATGAAAAGTTTTACGGTGAATGCTCAATAATTCAGGATAAATAATACATTTTTTATAATTTCTTAAAGATTAAAATCAAAAACATCAAAAATTGAAGTAAGAATACAGTAACTTATTTCAAGTAGAATAAAATATGTAACAAAAGCAATGGACGAAATTTCCCCCAAAGAGCTTTCTCTCTCATCTCTCTCTCTATTCTCTTCCCCTTTCCTTCTTCTCTTTCTTTCATTCCCGACCAAGCAATGTGAATGAGGGAGGGAGTGATGGATAGTAGGGATATCTAACACAAAATATATATAAAAACTCGTTTTGATACTTAACACCACGATGCTCATCCATTATAGCATTGCAGCACTGCATGTTGCCCCCATGTTACTGTAGAATAGTCTTTAATGCCGTGTTGATATTTTTTGACACTGCAATACTTTTAGCACTATTGTGATCGCAAGCACAACACCGCAACGCTCAACCTATAATTTTTATATTTTTCAAGTAAATTTAATTTAAACTTTTTGGTTGTTACCTGCAAACCTTGATTCCCTCAAATAATTTTAAACTCTCATTGGATAAATTTTACACTATTTATAGAGAAAAATTTAAGTTGCTAAAAGCATCATGCTTCTCCCTAAGTTACAAATGGGGTATTTACCGATTGAAGGGCATAAAATTAGAAGAAAAAAAAAATTTAAATCAAAAAATCATGTTTTTTCTCTTTTGAAGGGAATTAAAAGGGAAGAAAAAAATTAAAAAAAAAAATAATGGAGTGACCCCAAAACCTTTCCAAGATGTCGAAATAGGTGTCTAAAAAATGAGCAGCTAAGAAAAATATGCAATTAGCACCCTTGAGGCACTACACAAGGGAGCCATCAACACCACCGGCATTAAAACAGTGGCAATGCAAGCTGGCTGGTTTAGTCGCCAACTCTTGTTCAGGCCACTTTCAGGCTTGCCAAATATGATTCCAATATCTCAAGGGTCTTTGGTACCATTTTTTAACATAATGAACTCAATTTTGGCAATTTTAATGCCTAACAGAGCTTGTGAGATCAATCCCAAGCAATTATTACTAGTTAGGAGTCAAAATTTTTTAATAATTTTTATTTTGATTGATGTGCTGACTTTAAAAAAAGATGAAACTTAATGAAAAAATTTACTTGGTTCATGTTGTCAAGGGGAGGTTTGTGATTGGCAATTGCAGGAAAAGAATTTAATTTGAAATGATTTTTCTTTATTAGATTTATATGAGAATTTGATCATTACATGACACAATGAAGAAAAATGATTCATTTAGCTGACCCCACATAGTGGGATAAAGGCTGTTGTTGTTGTTGTTGTTACATGTTGTTAAGGGAAGGTTCACATTAACATTAAGGGAACAATTGTGCCTCATAATTCTTTTTCTTAAATTATGTTTTTATGATGAAGATATTTTCAAAGATTAAACATGTATGTCTAATAACACAAGTTTTGACATCCAAAAATAGAGAGAAGCTGATATGTAATAAAAAACCAACTAGATCAAGAATGATTCTCACATAGTTAATTTCGAAAGTTTTCAATTCAACTTTAATGTAATAATTCGAATTTTTTAGAATGATATTTTTTTTTTAAATGAAAAATCAGAATTTCAATGTTGTGCCTTATCCAAGAAGAGAGAGATTGTTGTTTCGGGTTTTTTCATCTTTGAAATTTGTTCATAGATTTTTTTTATTTGTTGTAAATAACTCAAATATAATATTAGTTTTCAATGATTTTTATTATTATATAGATTTTCTTGTAATGAACAGAATTAATTATTTCTTACTATATATATTTTGAATGTGGCATTTGCATAAGCAAGAAATGTTGACTATTAACACTATAAAATGGGTTATTGTTAAAACATAATGTCCTATGCAGGAGGGCGAGCCGACGGGCTTTTCTTTAAAGATGATTTAATGTGTTTTCCCGATTGTAGCCTATAACAAATGATCGATTACGTCAATGGACAGAGAGTGACAACTCTTCATTGATTTAATGAATTGACCTGTAATGAAAAATGATTAATTGGATAATAGATAATTGATATAACTGATGACCAATTAGGAATCAATTGGGGTAAAAGATGTTAAAAACACCACATTAAATATGTATGTCCTGCTTTGAATGGACAGACTGGAGGTGCGTAAGTGGAGGCTTAAGGATATGTTTGCTCGTTAAATGTAACATGTTTGGATATTTGAATGTGCTTAGTATGAGGATCAAAGCATCGGTACGCTTTATGTGAGGTGGAATAAACCAGGAAGATGTCGGCTTGGGAGCAAGGAGTGAGTTTGTTGGTGGTGAGATGTTTGACGTGGGAAAAATAGATGCAACCAAATGTGCGTGGATGATTGTATGAGGGAAGATGGCCATATAGTAATTGAAAGGGAGTTTGGAAATTGCGGGCAATGGTAGGGAGCATGTTGATGAGACAGCTTAAGGTGAGTACTGCCTTAACCCAGAATTGAGATGGGAGGTGAGCGACGTGAAGGAGCGTGCGAGTTGTGTCTAACAGATGGAGATTTTTAAGTTCCGCAAGGCCATTTTTTTCTTGGGTGTAGGGACTCCTAAATTGGTGGAGAATGCCATGATTTTGCATAAACTGCTTGAGAGTGGAGCTGATGTATTCTCCGTAGACATTGGAACAAAGTACTTTAATTATACAATTGAATTGAGCGCTGACAAATTTAATGAACTACTAAAGTTTTGTTAGCGTTTCTGCTTTGTTGTTCATAAGAAAAAATGAACAAAATCTAGAGTAATTGTCAATAAAGGTTGCATAATACTGATACCCATTTAGAGAGGAAATGACAGCCATACCCCAAACATCCGAGTGTATTAAAGAAAAAGGAGAAGTTACATTAGTAGAAGTAGAAGAGAACTATAACTTGTGGCTCTTGGCCATTTTACATGACTTACATAGAAGGGAAAGAGAAGAGATACAAAGGGATGGGTTGATTTTAGCTATGAAGTTCATGACTTGTTGATGAGGATGTCCGAGACAAGCATGCCATAGTGAGGTTGATGATGAAGTGTTGTGAAGCATAGTGGTGGATGGCATAGGAGAGGTTGAGATGGAATAGAGACCATCATGACTGCGACCACGAAGGAGGATGTGACTGTCTGCAAGATCCTTGATGATGAAGCCGGAGGAGTCAAAGGAAATAGAACAGTTGTTGTCAGATGTAAGTTTACGAATGAAAAAAAAAATTATGAGAGAGTGAGGGAACATGTAGGAGATTGTGAAGAAATAGCTTACGATGGGAGTAGGGAGGGGTAAGATGCCTTGGCCACTGTGGAGAATTGGAAGGGAATTGTCGTTGGCGATGGAGACACTATTTGATTCTTGATAAGAAGCATATTGTTGAAGATTAGAGGCATCGACTGTGAGGTGGTTGGATGCACCGAAGTTTAGCACCTACTCAGAGGGGGTAGATGAATGCTTCTGGGAGAAGAGTGCTTGAGATGGATGTGTTTGTGGGAGCATACTGCATGTTATAGCGATGCCAAAAAGATAGAGTAATGTGACCTAATTTGTTGCAGATTTGGCAAATTGGTCAAGGAGTGTTGGAAGCTTGTTGGCCATGGCTAGGGGAGAAGGGAGGTATGGGTTAGGGTCCTCGACCATGAGGAGGATGAGGTTGATTAGAGGGAGGACAACTGCTGTTTTGTGGAGCATAGGACTGGTTGGTGTAGGGCCTATGATGGTTCTTGGGAGGAGCTGAGTCTTTTGAGCAATTCATTGTGTTGGTGGATCTCCTCGCTGCAAAGTAGTGAATAAAGTACATCCAAGTTAATGGGAAGTAGATCAGTCCAAATGGAAGTTTTAAATAAGTTGAAGGTAATGGGCAATCCGTTGAGAATATATAAGATTATATCCTTTGGGTCAACATGAGAGTTGGTTGCGGCAATATTGTCCATCAATGCTTTGATTTGGATTAGATATTGGGTCATGGTGCTGTCACCCATTTGAATATGATGTAATTCATTTTTCAATTGAATTACTCGGGATCTGATTGTCAGTTGAAGTCGATGCTTAAGAGTGATCCAAATTTCATAGGTTGTGGTAATATTAAGGATGTAAGGTAAAATGGAGGAAGAGATGGTGTAGAAGAGGGTTGAAACCAAATTCTGGTCGATTAGATGCCATAGGCAATAATCATTGATCTTTGAGACAAGGTTGATGGAAGACGAAGTGGGCTCATGTGGGCAGTGGAGTCAACCTGTTAAGTAGCCTTGAAAGCCATTTGCCGAAAATAGTTTATGTACTTGCAGTCGCCAAATAGGGTAATTATCATTGGTGAGCTAGAGATTGATGATGAATTTGATGTTGGACATCATGAATTTGAGTGGGGAGGGTATGATATATTAGACCATTGAGGCATAGAGATAGGAAGCTGGTTGAGTGCTGGAGGAGTCATTATCTGCCATTGGACTGAGAGGAAGCTGTAAGGCTTACGGCTCTAATACCAAGTTGAATATCAAAGAGCAATCATAAAAAGAGAAAGGAACAGAGATAAAGAAGCAAATGTAAAACAATAATTTATGTATTATATCTCAAGTATTACAATGCTTGTGTGTTTATATTTAGAGTATTAAAGGACAATAATTTCTGTGCAGCTATTAGAAGCAGCCAGAACAACGTGACCCTGCACATGTTGTGATAATCGAATACATTAGTGGTGGAGAGTGACGATCCTTTGTAGTGTAGCTTAATGCTTATGCATGCTAACATATCTCACAGCAATTTGAGAGAGATGAATTTTTATAAGTCTTAGATTTGATTTGTGACAATTTTTTTACTATTTTTTAAGGTAAATTTTTAATATAAAATTTATTTTTTATATTAAAAATCTATTTTAAAAAATAATAAAAAAAATTGGCGCAATGCTTTGTTCAGTAACAGTTAGACAGATATAATATTTATTGTGAATAGGTGGTTGAGGTAGCTTCGAACAACTAAATGCATGATGGGGTAACTTCAAAATTCAAACCTAAAAAGAAGGAAAATGGGTGTTGATAGTTAGAATTTATTAGGCAAAAGGGGTGTAGGGTAGGAAATTGAAGTGCCATCAATGAAGTTGAGAAACAAAAAGGCACGAGCAGAGGAGTACTGAGAGAAACAATATGCTGCTAAGTTTGGTGGATTTTCATGCATAACCCATAAAATT